AATACAGTCCTTCTGCACCCTGAGCAGGCCCTGCTTTTGAGAGATGATGATGTTGCCACAAATGGCAGCAGACTTTTCAAAATTAAAAACCTCTGGCCATTGCCTTTTTATTTATGTTCCTCTGTTAACAAATGCCTTGTTTGATTGCTTTTAAATGTTGTGTTTCTGGAATGAAAATAGAATCCTGTCTCATTATTCCAGCTTAGGAGGAGGCTGAGAGAGGTGGGTTTGTTTTAAAAAGAGGAGATTGTTTCTGAGATCATTATAAAGCCAAATGTTTAAATACTGGCTGTTTCAGAAAGCTTGAATCTTTTGCTACAACTTCTTAAAAACTCCTTAGTTGATTGAAGAGTTTGATGTCCAAAATCTCGGCTAACTTGGTGCACGAGACCCTGGTGGAAATATCTTGAATTCTGGAATTTCTCTGACTTTGTGGTGTTGCCTTTTGTCCAGACAGACTTTTCTGATAATGAAAAGGAAAGCTGTGGGCAATTTCCTTGCCATGCACTCCCCCCTGCAGGGGTTGGATTTGGATATATTTTAACTAACATGGCTAATACCAAGATTCTGAGGAAGGGGAATGGATATCAAGCATCGGTGTAGAGTGCTCTGAAAAGTGTCTTAGGTCTGAATATTTCTCTGAATTTTGGGAAAATGCAAATCTGCTCCTGGAGTTCATGGCTGGCACTTTGTTTGAATACAGCAGGTCCTGTCCATGCTTTACATGGGAACAACTGGCATGTTGGGCCTTACTCTGACACCCAAATTTTTGCCTGCTCTGAGCTCCCCTGTGCCTCTGGACTTGTCTGAAAGGAACTTCAGCTATCCCAAGGACCAGGTCTATCGTTTTTTTCCACTTCCCTGTTTTTTTAGCTGTCCTAAGGAGTAAAATCAGTCTCCATCAAGTGAAATCTGATTATTAGTTTGTGCTACGTTCTGCTTTTGCGTGTCTGCAAATAGTTTGGAGGTGCAGTTTTTTCTGAGGTGGGATCTGCATGACCAGCTGTAAATAAAACACAGATATCTGCATTCCTATTCTGCTTCCAGATCTTCAACTTGTCCTGAAAAATAAGGAGTGTTTGTTTGGGTTGTTTTTTTTACCTGAAAAGCCTGAAAGGAGGACTGAGGTACAAACACATCAGGTGGGATAAAGCTGGCAGTTTTTCCTGTGTTGTGCTGAACAGAGTTAGAAAGAACCTCGATCAGAGCTTTTAAATGCTATTTAAAAGGTCCATCAGTACTTTACTCACCATCAGTGTCTAAATTTGTCGGCTCAGATGGTGTAGCTGCAGCTTCTTGGGCCAGAAACGCTTTCTGTTTTCTCTCCAGCTGGTTTCCTGCAAAGGGCTGAATTATTCTAGCTTTTATGGGTCATTGTTAGACATGGCAGGAAGGGTCATTGTTACAAATGTTTTCAGAACTTTGATAACCAGTTTATCAACTGATTCACATGTTTAATCAGTTAATAGGTTTTCCTTTTCGGTGCATGGGAATTTCTTTGTTTATCTTAGCTGAGTTACTGTTTCTACAGTGGAAAGAACTGGAGTTGACTGATAATCTTTTCAAATATGTGGGGTTTGCTCCTGTGATGGAAGTTACATGAACAGATCCTGCACTTTTACTCCTAAACCTGTATCCACAGGGAATAATCTACCAGAATAAGGGAATGGAACCTGAAAATGGTCTGATATGCCAGGGATACAGAGCGTGGAGCCGTAGTAATTAGGCAGTTTCTGGGTTTTAAAGGTGTCTGGGTGCTCAAAACAGATGAACAGATGCTTTTGAGAAGGGCCAGACATCTGTGGTTCCTCCCATACCTTGTCAAGAACTTTTTCCCAACACACTTTATCACGGGAAGAGCCAAAATGTCAAATGTTTGGCATGAAGCTCCTCCAGGAACTGCAACCCTCTTCCTCTCTGGGACCTGTCCTAGGGCTGCACCACCTTCCTGCTGGAAAAGCTTCTCCTGAACTCCGAGCTGAGCCTGCCAAGAGAGTCTGTGACATTGCCCTGGTCTCAAACGAGACGTTTGGCTCTGCCATCACTCTCATTTCCCTTCAAGCAAGGGAATTGTTGCTGTTTGTCTCAGATGACCTGGTGTGAAATCACCATGTCCCCCTCAGACCCCCGGCCCGGGCTCAGAGGGAGCCCCTCTCTCGCTGAGAACACGCTCTGTTGGCTCCTGTTCAGCTCCAGGAGGGTTTTTTTTCTGCCCTCCCCATTGTAAGGAGGCCCCGTCTGCTCCCCTGTTTATAAACAAACGTGAGGCCGAGCAGAACTGTAAACTCTGTTTTGCTTTTTTTAAGAAAATAAACGGGATGATGTTTGCTTGCTACGTCAGGAGCTACTTGGCATGAAATAACGCACGATAACCATGTTGCAGGATTGGAGTTTACATAACATTCATCTGCCTCGAAATTGCAGATAGCTGCAGAGCCTGCAAGCCTCTGGTGGGCTTGTAGAAGTGAATTCATGGAGTCAGCAGCTCCTGGGAACTGGCATGGTGTGTGCACATGTGAGGAGGGGTCAGCAGCTTGTTTTCTGTGCCTGGTTTCTTTTTAGATGTGTTCATTCCTGTTGCTGCACGAAGGGACCGGCTTTGCCAGCTGGTGGGAGAGAGAATCATCAGGGAGGAGGCTGCAGGGTTTTAATTCCTGTGGCCACCAAGGAGCAGGAGGTGATGGGAGGGAAGCAGTGGGATCCTGAGGATGTGAGTGAGAAGAAAGCAGAAGGTTGGGTTAAGCCACTTGTAGAACTTGTGCTGATTCGGCCTCTGTTCCATATGGAGCATCAATTCAGTGTTTTAGTTGGCAGATCAGAACTTCCTGAGACTTGAGCAGGTGAAGACCTTTGAGAAGCCTTGCTCCATATTTGCCTGTGGATAATTAAGTGTGGATCTTGAAAACCAGTGATACCAATCCTGCTTATGGTGTTTGAGCATTTACCTGTTTGGAAAAACCAGTTTTTAAAAAAGATGCTTATTTTAAAAACACTGCCATGAAATGCAGTGGAGAGAAATGAAGTGTTGTGTTTGAAACATCTTCCTTTTTTAATTTACTGCCAGTTTTCTGTTCCTTTCTGCCACAAAACTCCTCCTCGATGGAGAGCCAGAGGCAAAGCCGATCGACCAATTCGCCGCTGAAGCTTTGTGAAACTTAAACCCAATTCATTAGGCACGGCGTAGGTGTAGACTGCGGGCAGTCATTAGGATTTCAACAGCAAATAATGCAGCCCGTGAAACATCAGACCTATTTCCTTCTCGTGTAAAAACGCAGTAATGAGTTTTAACCCCAGCTAAACGCGCTCTTGAGCTTTAACGTCAGAGCGAATCACGCCAAGCGCTCAGCAGATTAAACCTAAACGGCGCGGTATTTCCTTGCTAATTCTGGCGCTTCCCTCGGCAATAATATTGTTTCTCTCCTCGGCGATGTGCGAGTGAGGAGCTGTGATTTTTGAGGGGCTGCGATCGCTGCCGGGGCAGACAGTTGGTAATTGGGGAATCCGCATCATCAGATCCATGTCCGCCGGGGCAGCGCGGCCCGGAGGACTGTTCTTTGTGGGAATTCCTGCGGGACAAACGTTACGATCCCGGCTGGTTAGGGGGTTGCTGGGATACCCGGGGTGGGGAGCGGGGGGGGATATTTGGGACCCGGCGCAGCCGAGCGGGCGCTGAGCGGCCCCGACAGCGCGGCCAGCGCGGCCACCTGCGCTGGGCAGAGCAGCGAGCCCCAATTAACAGCCCCAACCCTCTCCAGCCAGCCGTCACTAACACCCCGCATCGCTCCTGACAGCTCCCCCTGCTCCGGCCTCCAATTAATCCCGATGGCACTGCTCAAAAGGCAGAGAGGGCTTTGCTTGGGTAATCAGCTTAAATACCCGGCCGTTTCCTGCCCTCGCTGCTCCAAACTTCCCATCGGGGAGACGTAAATACTGGGTTTATTTTAAAATCTTTTTTATCTCCAATTTCCTCCTTTTTTTTTTTTTTTTTTTCCCTGATATGCCCTGTGCAGGGCTCCCTTTCAAAGCCTGTAAACTGGATGCAGACAGGAACTTTGCAGTTCTGTGCTGATTGCCTTTATTGGAAGGAAGGGGTGATGATGAGGGGTTTCGCTTGGAAAGGGCGCATCTTCTCTGACAGTCACAAACTGGTGATAATTAGGAAGAAATCCACAGTTTCATTTGGTTTTGTTCTTCTTGAACACTCCTGCCTAAAGAAGCGTTTTGCCTCTCCTGCTGCAGCAGCAGAGCAAGGGGGGTTATTTTGAAATTAAAAAGTGGTAACAGCTCATTGTGCACATTTCTATGAGTATATTCATAAAGGACACACCAAGGTCTGTGTCACTTGTAAGATAAGCCGGGAAATGGCAATACCACAAGACCAAGCTTAGACAGAAGTTGTTACAGAAGCATCTGAATTCAGCTGTAACCCATGGCTCAGCTTCCTGCGGGGTTGGATTCGCTGCCACCACTCAAAGGGAATCCCTCAGAGTGGATGTTCTGCGTGGCCTCAGGGTCTTTGCTCAGGTGAAAGACTCGAGTGTGTTTCATTTTGAACATGTTACCAGCAGTGGCTGAAGGGTGATCTTCTCTGGGGGGAAGGCATCATGTTCTTCACCTCATGGCAGCAGAGCCAGGATTCCCTCCCCTCTATCCCAACCAGGAATGGGTAATGCCTTTCCTGGATTTAATGGGAAAGACGTATTCTGTTCCCAGGTGCTTGGGAGTTGAACAATTACCTTTTTAAAATATTTTATTGATGTCGGTTTACACATTTATTACTCTTTTTTTTTTTTAATGTTACCCCTCTGTGCTGTTATTTCTCCAGTGCCAGTTTTCTAACATAATTTGATGATGAATCATGAACGTTAACTTTATATATATATATGTGTAATGCTTTATATATCCATATATATTTATATAAAAATCTGGGTGGTGGCAGGGAGAGAGACTCATTCCATCTGCTCCATCTTTTGTTTTGATCTGGTTGCCATAGGAACCCCGAGATCAATTTTGACAGAGTAAAACACTACAAATTACGCTGTCAGATGACCTCATCACCCGGGGCTGGCACGCTGGATTGCAGCATTGCTGGAAGGAAAAGCATCAGCGCTGCAGGAATCTCTGCTCCACGGAAAACTGTTATTTTTGGATTCTTCGGGAAGGCGTGCACGTAAACCCGGCGGCTCCCTGGTGAGTGACTGGTCCCTGGGACCAGCACAAACTTTCATCTTCGTTTTTTGGTTGGGGTAGGTGATGTCATATTTGGCCCCAGGTTTCCCTGAGCTGCCACTGGCATCTCCCTGAGAGAGACCTTCGTGTTTTCCTGTTGAGCACTGAGGCAGCTGAGTTCTTACGGGCAGACTCAGTTGTTTTCCTTCCTTTTTTGGGGTCATCTGCTACCTGTGTGTCTTGTATTGGTACAGCTGCCATTGGTTGAGTGATTTTTTTTTTATACCTTCCTGATCAAATACAAAGTATTGACCTACGCCTTGTGATCTCAAAAGTGGTTCATGGTGGAAACAATCTCCATTTCATTCATTACCGGTGTGTTTGGGGGTGTGTTCTCACTTGCAGTGGGAGGTCCCTGCTGCGTGGGGATGGCTGGGACATCTCAGGTTGCTCTGGTTTCTTTTTCGTGCCGTTTCCATGCCAAGAGGGGCTTTGCTTGGAGAAGTTTTGCAGTTTGACTCACGGAAAGGTCTTGTGCAACTTTCCCGCTGGGTTAGGACAAGACGTGTTTAGTCCTGGGTTTTGTTTGGGATCCCATCTCCGTGTTGGGGTTGTTTGTACACAGGCAGACAGCGTGTGTGTGAGTTGGCAAAGGCTTTGCTCGTTCTGTTTTCCTCCTAGTCAGGAATATTGCTCTTGCTGTATCTAATCTGGAGCTGTAAATTGCAGAGAGGTACGAATCCAAAACAAACATTCTGAAGAATTTGAGTGGAGTAGAGCCCCAATTTCCATTTCAGTGCTCTCTCTGTTGTCCAATTTGTTAAACTCGAGTGGTCCCATGTGTGAGTCGCGTGAGTGCCAGAAGTGCTCTCCAGCCATCTGCTTTTTTGGTAAGCCTTTGATTATTTCTCTGTCCAGTTTTCTATCCAAAATTAGAACTGGCAACTCAATTGGTTGATTAATATTGTATTTTTTATAATTTAACATTTCCAGCTTATGGCTAGGAAATGGCAGCGAGGTCGTAAAAAGCGCAAGGAATAATAATAATAATAGTTTCTTCCTGGAATCCAACTGTACCGTGGTGGAACCTTTTCACCACGTTGTTTCAGCCCTTCAGGAGCAGCAAGAGAATGGAATAGGAAAAGTTTTATTGTTTGTGGGTAGCACCAAAATGGGAGGAAGAGACAAAACTGGATTAACTTGATGAGCTGTCCTGGAATTGTGAAGAAGTGCCGGGAACTGATAGAGGCACCGGCAGTGGAGCTGAGCATCGAGCCAGCACTACATTTAAACCTGAACTGGGAGATCAGAAGGAACCACTGGGTGTTTTAAAGGGGTTTATTTGGGCTGAATTGTAGGGTTTTACACACTGGTGGTGAGGGGGAAGTTGGCTCTGAGGGACGAAGCTGAGTTCTGTGTTCCCCCGTGTTTGCGCGGCTTCGTGTTTTCGGTTCACCAGTGGCACCAGCCGACAGAAATGAGAGCATTTTAGACCCATGAAGCAGAAATTCTCCTGGGAATGCTGTGGGACAAGCAGAGGGTGAGTGAGAACCCTGGATCACTGCCCTTGTGTTTAGTGCACTGAGCTCCCTGGTGCATGGCATGGTGCTGTTGGATCTGAGCGTGCTGGGCATGTCCCAGAGAATCCAGAGGATTTGTCCCCGAGTGCAGGCTCGGCCAGGGAGATTCCAGGATAAAGAATAACTGATTGGTCTTTTGGTTTTTGTTTGGTTTGGGTTTTTCCCCCTTTATAAATAAACTGCACCAGAATCTTGGACTAACCAGCAGCATCTTGTGAAAATACAGTGGGTTTGCATGACAGTGGATGAAAATTCACGTGCCATTTGCAGAGGTTTGGTGTTTCAGCAGCACCTCAAGCTGCCCTGGTGATGGGGTGAGGAAAGGAAGGGCTCTTTGGGGCAGGTTCACCTTGGGAAATGGGCCATATTCAGATGTTACTGGTGGGGAGGAGGGCTGGACCCCCCCTCCCTCCAGCCTTCAGTCCAGATATTCATCCTCGGCATCTTTCTTACTGCGTGGACAAAGGTAAAATGCTTCTCACAGCTCATGAAGGTCTCTGGAAACTTTGCATTTCCAGAATTGCTCTCTGACTGTGGAGGAGACACTGGATTTTGTGGCAGAACTGTGCAGAAAGTCAGGAGCTCACCAAACCCTGGTGGTTTCAGAGCTGCTGGTGAGGCTGGGGGGGCTCTGCCTCGGTGTGTCTGGATGGCCAGAGGGCTCAGAGCTGTCAGGGTGACACAGAAAAGGCAAACAGCGTCCAAACAGACAAATGCTCAGCACATTGATAATATTTTTATTTTAAATTATAATGAAGGGGAGAATAACTGAGCAAGTGTGTTGTGGTGGGAGCCAGCCAGGCTTTGCTCGTGTCTGAACTAGGCTGTTGAGAAAGGGTTCTAAATCCATCCTGGAAGTTCCACTCTGCCCAGTTTCACTTTGTGGGGACAGGATTGGGCCCTCTATTCCTTTTTTTATATGGTGTTACAAATTACTTTCCCATATTTCCAAAGCCATTACTGAAACTTTTCAAAGCACGTTGTGAAATCATCGTGTGTGTTGCTGAAACTGCTTGTCCATATGTACACCAGGGTAATACAATATATGTGTGTTTTCCCTTTTTGTTTGGCTTTTGCCAAAAAAAAAAAAAAAAAAAAAAAAAAAAAAAGACTAAAAATCTTTCCTCCCCTTCCCACTTTGATTTTTTTCCCAGGTAAAATGATGGCAGATGTCCTCAGCTCAGTTCCACAGAACATATTGCTTACTGGAATAACCAATTTAGCTCTCTGCCCTTTTACTGTAAACTTGGGTTTGTTTTTTTATGCATTTG